TGGATCAAATTAAGATATTTATAAGCAAGAGGTAATATTGTATATAAATATAAATATATATAACCTTTGCTAATAGGCTCTTCACTAGTTGCAGCTCAGGGAGGTGTGAGTTTGGGAAGTCTTGTCATACTGATGATGGTAAGACTGCAGCCAAGAAGAGATTGCCCATGGTAAGAATAGTTAAACAACCCCGTCATTACACTGAAGTCACCCATGGGACCCTGAGAATAGAGCTCTCCATACCCTCCCCTTCTGTAGCCTCAGAGTTTCACCATCTTTCTCACTGTGACTATAGGTGAGTTTGTGTTAACTCTCTGGTCTGCTGACACAGATCATGGGCAGGCTTCTTAGAACTTTTTCTGTTTAGCTCAGGAAGGAACATTTTGTTAATTATGTGAGTGGCTGTATATAGAGAACCAGTAAGCCCAGGCTGATTTCTAAGTCCTACCCAGATTTCCTTCCATTAGATGGCAGATTACCAAAACCTTACTTGAAACTTTTATTTAAAAAAGCATGGAATAGAACTTCAAAATAAATAGGGTATTTGTTGTATGTTAGTGTGTCTGAACTTAGTATTTGCAGTAATGTTTGACTTGGATTGATTTTTGTGGTGCACTTGTTGAAGTATATTTCTATGTAGAATTTTAAAAAGGCTCATAAATGTGTCTTATCTTTATTACCATATTTGATTTATAAGCTAATTCTTAGAGTTTATGAATAAAAAATAATGGTTAGCTCTCAATAAACTCAAGTGGCTTTTTGCATATAAAAATGTTAGTAATTTTGAGTATACTATAAGTTGAGTGTCAGTGATCTGAGACTGTTTACTTGTTTGACACATGACAGGTCACAGTTAAAGGTGTCACCTAAGGCAATAAAATGGATAAAGCATACGTGAAGTATTATTGAATTTTGTGTTTAGGACTTTGGTTTCATCCCCAAGATATTTTATTTACATACAAATACTCAAAAATCTACCAGAAACAAATCCAAGACATTTCTGTTGTCAAGTATTGATTAAAGGATGTTCAACCTATAAGAGCTATCCGTTTTCAAAATCAGTAATCTAAAAAAATCTATAAGATTTTTTTACAGATATCTATAAGATATCTGTACAAAATTATTGAGTTAGTCAAGTTTGGGTTTGATTTTTAATTGGAAAAATCTTAATATTGCTGTTAAAATGTTAGAAAGTAAGCTATTTTTAAGTTGCAAAAGAACATACCTGTTCTTTCTGAAAAATATTCACAGCTTTAACTGTTGAATGTGAGGGAAACTAATTATGAAAAACACAGAAAGATAAATGTTTATAGGAAAATTATGTCTTATTAGTGTTATAGTTGGGAAAATAACTATAGTATAGAATATGTAGAATTTGAAAGTCTTTTTTTTCTTTTTTTTGAATTTGAAAGTTTTATGATTTTATTGGCTTTCTTTTTTTGGTAAATAGTATTTTGTAACTTCAGTGTTTATACTGACAAACCGAATTTTATCGTGATCATGTAAATTTTTGATTTCTTGAAATATTAGCCATATTTACATGTATTTTCCATATGTAGTATGTAGTATTCTTACTATGCTAATTTTTGGGAGTATACCCTTTTACTATGCTAATTCAGGGACTTTCATTACTGACATCAGCAAATTATTTGGCAGGGAGAATCTGAAAATGTCATCGCAGCCATTCAGTTTATTACTTTATTAATAACTTTGTTTAATTTGAATATCAGCTACTTTCTTTTCTTCCTATTATTTTGAAAGGAGAAATTGTTAGAATTTACTAAGTCATGCTTCTTTCTCTTGAATTTATACCGTGTCTACTTTATTAGGTTTGGTAGCATTCTCTGTAAGGTAACCACTTATTAATGCATTGACTCTTAACACTGCTACCTTAGGATAAGAGTTATTTTGTTTTTGGCATAGAATTAGTTACACTGTTAAAATTTTTATCTTGATTCCTCTTTAGGAAACTCAGACATTTCCTTTTCCCTAACATGTATATATCTTAAAATGAATGGATTACAGTTCTGATACTTGATGATGTGCTCATTAATTATGTGGCCATTATTAAAAAGGCATGGTTCTTCTTATTTATTAATGCATGTAAATTATATGTTAGTCTTTTTGTTTGCTATTTTAATAAGATTTACTTCTGTGTTGTAACAATAGCTATTTTGTTTAATGCAGATAATTTTTTTTTTTTACAAGTGGGAAGGTAGTTATCTGAGTTCTGAATTTGCAGCTCTTTGAGTATTGCCCGTTCAGTTTCAGATTGACCCTTGGGACGTGACATCACAGGTTTTTCTCCATTGCTTAGAGAGTCAGCAGAATGCTAATTCAATACATACCCCCAAAGTTAGGAACTTGGCCTGTATTCTGCAGAGTTCTAGCTAAAACTGCTAAATTAGGAAGTCTTTCCATACTTGAGGGATAGATCGGCTTTGGTGTTTCCAATATCCCTTTCTAACTTGAAGCTGAAATAGTGTTGAATCATCTCATTGCTTATGGGGGTTTATGTAAATAGTCAAGTTTTTAATTACGGGGCCTAAGGAGCTTTCTGTTGCCTGGTCTTTAGACTCACTAATCATATCTTCTAGGGTTGTTGAGAATAGTTAAGTTACCTAGGCATATTGGGGAAGCATTTTATTTTTCATCGTCTTAGAGTTTGGATAATAGCATTGAATTAGCATTTTTGTCTTTTTTGAATTTTAGTAACAGTAATTTTACACTTATCAAGTATATGTGACATGTTTGTCTTTATTATGTACTAGTCAGTGGATGTCTCATTTTATAATCTTATCCTCATGCTTTTATTTATGTATTTCTTAACTTTTCTGTGTTGGAGCGGTTCACTCATGAGAAAAGCTCCTATTTCCTCGATCTTCTCTTTATAAAGACATGCCAGTAAACCATCATGTTTGTCAGAGGGTTTAATGGGATGGAATTAGTTTCTATCTAGTTGGCACTTAATAGACTTAAAGAATTAAAATTTTAACACACTTTATCTCTTGACTTCCACTTTTTCATGTTGTATTTTCCAGTTAATCTTTATGATTGAGCCAGTTTAATCTTTATTTTGAGCTCCTGTTTAGTAGTGTCTTCTCTACGTTAGTAGTATTTTATCTCTTCATTAAGGGTTTCTTGGCCAGTTACTTAGAATTCGTTGCTTTAAATGTAATTCATTTTCTTCTCTTAGAATTCGTATCAGTATATAAGTATGATGCTTGTTCCAAATGTGCTTGGAGATTTTATTACTAAAATGTATGTTGGAACTTTTCATCCTAGAGTTTATTAAAGTAGATTCTGTTTATGGCTAGCTGTCCTAGCCTTTGTTCAGGAGCACTAAACTTCTCATAATGTGTACACCAGTTGTAGTTACATCGATGTTTGACAAATCATTAGTGTAATTCTTTTTATACTATGATAAAGCCAATGATTATTGAGACAGAGCCTAGGATTAGGAACTTTTTATGCCCATTTTCATGCATAGGAAATTTATATCTTGACTATCCATGTTTCTGGAAGAGAGTTATAATTCCATCTTAGTATTACTACTTAACTGGTTTAGAATTACACTGTTTCTTTGCATCCTATTGTATATATTAAGTTTAACTTTTAATATTTCTCTAAGCTTGTACCAAATGTTGTTGTTGCCCTGAAAAAGTCCCCTGCTTGTCAGGAGAAAACCAATATAGCATTAAAAACTAGTTACAGATTGGCTAATTAATATATAGGCAAAGTGATTCTATACTTGTATTCTTAAGTCTTATTCTAGATTGGATAATGATTATGGAAGATGTAGGTATTTTGGAACTTACATAGTTAAGGTTTTGAAGTTTCCACTGTAAAGCTTTATGTCACTTATTAACAGCTGCCATTTTCCAGATGACTTCATTTAGAGTCGTTTGTCCTGTTATTCTCTGTGCTTTTAGACTGTTAAGACATGAATAAACTTTGGCAATCACATAGAATTTGTCAGTTAAGACCACTTACATTTCTCTCAGACATTATTCTAGTGTATTAAATACAAATATAAAAAGGAGTTGATATGAATAAAATAATAATATTGTTGAGTGTCCAAATTAGTTAGATTCGGGGATTTACTTGCCTGCTTCAGTGAACAAAGTTGCTCTGTTTTAGTGGATTAAAAATATGTTCTGTGGACTGGTGAAATGACTCAGTGGGTAAAGATGCTCACTACCCAGGCCTGCCCACCTCAGTTCAGTCCCTAGAACCCATATGGTGGAAGGAGAGAACTGACTCCACAGCTTGCCATGGCAAGTGAATGGCTGTAGTTTCTTATCTGTGCATGTGTGCATACGCACAAATAAATGTCAAAAAATTAAAATATATTAATGCTTTTGGAGACTGCAAAATTTAGTATAAGCAAGTGTTCAGTTCATGGTGGTTTGTTTAGCAGTACTCTAAAATTACTTAATTATTTTCTTCAAAGACACTGGTTTAAAATAGTGAAAAGCTTTCCTTCTTAGAACTGGCTTATAACAACCTAGCTGTCATTCAACTCATCATCAGCCTTAGGAATGTTGAAATAAACTATGTTAAATATTTTCTTAAGTGGTATTTTATCAGATACCTCCATAACCTCTGACTGTTTAAAATGTTACACAGCTATAAATCAAGCTTACAGCTTCAAACAGCTTTAAATCAAATTTCGTTTCAGAGTTTTTTGTGTGAAAATTTCACAAATTTGCTTTTGTAACTATTCTTTATGTAGGGAAAATATAATATTGTGAAATGTGGTGTGAGGTAAATGTCAACTGGTAAAGGTGATTTGCAAGTATCCAAACTTAGAAAAAACCTGGAGTTTTTTCTGCCAGTGGTTAACTATTATGAGATTACATTTCATGAATGATTTTGATATTTTCCAAGGATCGTTTAATGTATTTTGTCTATTTTTAATTGAGAAATTTATAAGTAAATTTAAAATGTAATTAAATAATAAATTTTGTCTTCTTTTCTTTTTCTTTTCTCTTTTTTAGGGTATGAGTATTATAGAACAATTAGATCCTGTATCTTTTAGCAATTATTTGAAGAAATATCATAATACTATATGTGGAAGACATCCCATTGGGGTGTTATTAAATGTGAGTATCCTTAGGAAGCCTTGACCTTTAACATCTGTTGCTGTCTTATTTCAGAATATCTGAAAGGTTACATTTCAATACATTGATAGCATCATTGGCTTTGTGTACATAGCATCAGTTTCTTCCTGGTAACTTTTAATATAATTATAGGTTTATATTATTTTGTTTATTTGAATAAATTTATTACTGGGATATAGGTCAATAATTTGTTAACATGGAGTTATTTAGAAGATTGCCTTATCTTCTCTTGACTCAGTCAGCACTGATAGGCTTTTCTTTCTCAGAAGATTGATTTTTGGGTTTGTGTGTCTGTGCAGACATGTGGGTGCATATACATAGACAAGCAAAGATAGATTGTGTGTGTGTCTTTTTCTCTTAAATAATAATGATAAAACTTAACTTTATTTAAAAAGTGCAGGAGAAGCCAGACATAATGACTCATGCCTTTAATACTAGCACTGGGGAGGCAGAGGCAGGTGGATGGATTTTTGTGAGTTTGAGGCCAGCCTGGTCTACATTGTGAGTTCTAGGACAGCCAGAGCTAAATAGTTTAGACCTGGTCTCAAAATAAAACAAAACAAAACAAAAAAGAATTTCAAGAAAGAAGTTTTGATTTAGTTGGATTTTAGAAAGCTAAATTATATTTGTTTACTTCCTAATTAATAAACAAGAAAATGTGACACTCTTTAAGAAGAATGAGAAAATGTCTCCTGAGGAGTCTGCAGTGGACTCATTGAATTGGTTTGGCAAGGTATAGAAAAGGATGAACCAACAGTTGAAACAGGGAGCTTGATGGTCACATGATTTGACAGTTGTAGATGATGGATTTTTAGGAAGCCTTTTTATCTTGTTAAAGGAGTTCAGATTGATGAAGGGAAAGGCTGTCAAGGACCTAAATTAATTTCTGGAACGTAGATTGGCGTATGCTGCACTAATTTTCTAAAGTCTGAATTGAATCCAATAGAATAGTTTTTTTTTTTTTTTTGTATGAAAGACACAGTTAAAGTAAAAATTATAGCATACTTCTATATCTGTGAGTTAAATAGACATTTCAGATTCAGTCTAAGTCAGATGAATAAAAGCCTTTTGTACATTAAGACAGAGGTGGCTGAGATCTAGAGAACGGAAAAAAATATACACTAATTATTAAGAAGCTAGGTTAGGACATACTCATGTGAAAATGAAATAATGAGATTTTTCTGAGTATGAGGCAGCAGACATTTAAAGATAAAGTAATACAAGTTGATTTCTCAAATGCTCTAAGTTAAGCTCCCAACATTTACAGTGTTCGTTTTTTTTTTTTTTTTTTTTTTTTTTAATGTGATGTCCGTCATAATCAACTTTTTCTTTTTTTTTTTAGGCTATCACAGAGCTCCAGAAGAATGGAATGAATATGAGCTTTTCCTTTTTGAATTATGCCCAGTCGAGCCAGTGTAGAAGCTGGCAAGATAGTTCAGTGAGTTATGCAGCTGGAGCACTCACGGTCCACTGAAGCTCCGACCCTCAGGGACGCCACCTGCACAGACTCATACTCTGTCCAGGGTCCAGCCTAGCCTTTACCACAATGTTGGTTCTGGTGTGGGGGGATTCTGAAACCTCAGACTAACAGAACTCTCTTCTCTTCTTTTCTAGTAGGTGTAGTCCTCCTTAATTTCAACTCATTTAAAAATGCTTTATAGTTTGGGGCTGTGGAAGGAAGGCTGAAATCAAAATATTTTGATTAAAAAAAGATGACATTGTAAAGGCCCAATTGGCACACAGTTTTTGAAAATGACTTGTAAAGCATTTAGCATACCCAAAATTTGCACTCTTTGCAGACTCATGCACATATATTCCGCTTTCAGAATAGTTTTGCAAATTGTACACAGACAAAAAAGGGTGGAAGCTTTTTAATAAAGGAACTTGCATTTATAAATGATCTGTATTAGAATATAAGAAATCTCCAGTTATAGACAATTACTACCCATGTTGTACAACAGATACCTTCTATTTTAGTTGCTAATAAAGGGCTACACAACTCAAAATAGTCTGATTTAAACTTATTGCTTTGTGGTATAAATGGAAATTTGATTTTTATTAATTCATCTCAGAATTTTTGTTGAAATGGCAAGCCTCAGCTCCTATGTAAGAACGTTGGAATATATTTTATTTTTACATTCATGTGATTTTTCTTAAATCACAAAAATGATAGTCACGTAATTTTAAAGTTAACTTTCAAAATTAGTCATTTGCCTTTTTGTGTGTGACATACCCTCATGTCATTATTATATTGTAGTAGAATATAAATTCAAGGATGCTTTAAAAACAAATAGATTTAGTCCTTTCCTTCAAACACCGTGTTTGATAGTCTGCAAATGAAGAAACATTGAAGAGTGTTATTAGTGTGTTTCGAGTCATTGCAGACCACACACCACTATGTATTTTTTTTACTGCTTTAAGCAATTTGACTCTTTTACTTGAATTTTTAGCAAGAATTCATTGACAATAACCGTAACAAGGCCTACTGGACTTGTAATAGTCCTGCAAATTTGCTTTTTTTGGGGGTGGGTGGGCATGATTTTTGGTGCGGCTCTTCCAACTAAAATAATGGTATGGTGTTGTATTAATTTATCATAGACTTATTCTAGTCATTTTGACAAAAAAACGTGTAATTCATTAAGCCATCATGCATGTTCTTCATTATACCTATTTTAACATAACACTGGGTGTCTATATCACATTGGAGAGTGTTTATATCTTCAGTGTTATACCCAAGTAGCACAATTTTTAGATGCCTTGCACCAATTTTCTTTGGAAATTTGCATTTCTTATTTATTAAATAATTTTATATACTCAAGAATGAGAGAAAAATAATACTACCGTTTAGATTCAAAATTATCTACTTATACATGTAGGGATTATACTCTTATACATTAGTGATTTATTTTCCATTATTTAGATATGCTTTTGAGTACTATAAATATTTATCCTTTGTTTAATACAGATTATAAAAATTTCTGAATTGACAATAGTGAATTTTTAAAATGTTTTCTGAGTACAAAATTTGAAAATACTGAAAATTCAGAAGAAAAAAAGATTACCTACTGTCTTACTACCCAGAGATACACTGTTAATGTTTTTCTGTATTTACTTTTAGTCTTGTGTTGTTTATGAGTGTGTATGTGTTTGTGTGTGCGCAATAACAGAGTGAGATTCTAGTGCTCATAAGGTTGCATTATGCCCTGTTATTCTAAGTACTTACTACCTATGTCTTTGAAAGCTCAATTTTAAAAAATGGCTAACTGATATGTTAACATTGTATGGAAATAATCAGTTCTCTCTTTGGATGTTAGGCTGTTTCTAATCTTCCACAATTTTACAATGGGAAGGGCATTCTATATAAAGTCTGAACTCTATATTAGACCCATTCTCCAGGATACAATCATGAAAATGAAATAAGTGGTTTACATGATAAGAATTTCTTAGACCCTTTAGAATATGCAAAATTACGTTTCTAATTGTACCAAAATAACAGTGTCCCCTCATCAGCATCCGTTCTTCTAACTTTTGACAAATCGTTAAACAAGTAATTGGTTATTTCTTTGTTGAGTTTCTTTCAAATTAATCATTTATTATCTTTCTATAAATTTAGAATGGTTTTTGAGAAACAACATAAGAAAGATATCTCGTCCTAAGAGTGTGTTATACTGCACATTTTTGTTTGTTCATTTATTTGCTTTGAGACATGGTTTGCCTGTGTAGACCATGCTCACCTGGATAGCCCAGGATGGCCTCAAAACTCATGTCTGAGCCTCCTTTCTCAGCCTCCCAAGTGCTGGGATTGCAGACATGCAGTACTGTGCCTAGCTTGTACTGCACTTTTAAAACTAGAATATTCCAAGATTAGTTTGTCCTTTTTTAAAATGAGCAGGTTTTTTTTTTGTTTGTTTGTTTTTTTTTTTTTAAATTACCTGTTTTTAGAGTAGACACATTTCTAAACTGATACTGTGTTCAATTCTAGTTCTGTCTCTGCCACTAGTTAATTCTCTGAAGTGGTGTTTTCCGTGTCATGCTGAAGTTTCCTTGTCTGTGCGGGGTGCAGATGACCTCTTAAGCACCTTCTTGTTTCAGAGTGCCAGGTTTTATGATTTTATTTTTTAATTGATTTTGGCGTGACATGTTAGATAGGTACATGATTGATTTAGATATTTTTATTTCAGTTCTACATATGAAAATGAAAGTAAAAACCTTGTTATTTCAGAAAAAGCAGGAATTAATTCACTTTACATCTAAATTATTGGACTTAGCCTTCCTATTTTAAGTGCCTTTAAAAGTTTTGTATTTCAGATATAAAATGTGAAATTATCATGTAGTTCTATAATACAGTTCCTTTGTTAAGAACTTATGAATTATTTTCAGCAACCTTTTATTTACCTTAGGTCACACAGAAAATAGTATTTGTGGAGTCCCCTCTCCCCCACTAGTTAGTCCTTAAGAAATGTTAGTCTAGAGATAAGCTAATTGAGCAGGTAAGTAAGTACTCTGCCCTGGAAATAAGAAGCCCATATAAAGAATAAAGAACTAGTGAGAGTCCAATGCCTATATTTGTATATTCCAGTATGGATGTTATTTCCTGAGCTCTAGCTAATGGTTATGATTATAGTTATCATAGTTTGCTTTGGAAGCATGTAGTTCATCCCCCTCGATTAGGGATTGGGATATGTTTTCTGTGAGGGACCAGATAATTATTTTGGACTTAATATGCCACAGTGGTCTCTGATCTGCCATTGTAATACAAAAGCAGCCATAGACAACATGTAACCAAACATATGTATATGTTTAATAAAAATTTAATTTATACTAAGATGGAATGCTGGAATTGGCCTGCAGACCATAATTTAACATTCTTATCCTAGGTGGTATAATTCCTTTGTAGTTTAAAGTTGGCTAATGATCTAGCGATAGTATACAACAGGTGGTTATATGTTTCTGCCATGTGAGCCTTCTTTTAATTGGATGCAGTGTCACTGGCTGAATTTCTTACTGAATGCTCACAAAGGTAAGTGCGAAGTAGGGAAAATTAAGAATTCCTGCAGATACCTGTCAGAGCACCTTGAAATACTTGTATTTGCTGAAGTACATTGAGTTTATTTTGCTGCTGTAAACTAATGAGGAGTGGAAGTGATGCATTGTTGACCTTGCTGTGTAGCCAAGGCTGTCCTCTAGCTCCCTGGTGTTGGGACTTCAGGTGTGTACCCCTAGGCCTGTCACAGTGAACTGTTTCACATGAGTATTTCAGGTCACTAGGAAAGACTTGAAAAAGTGCCCCTTTCTATCACTCTTATTTTATTGAAACAATGATTTCTAATAAACTCAGAATAAAAGAGAGAAGTTTAATTCAAATAACTTTAGTTGTACTATTGTTTCATCATTGAGGATCACAGAACACCTCATCACGTGGTGCTGTCAGCCCTACAGAGATGCCAGTTATTCTAATAATAACTAATCATTAGAAACTGTACGGAGGAGACTTAATAAGCCACATACATGCTATTGTTTAGACTGGAAATTGTACATCATTGGATTAAATCTGAACGTTTACACAGTAAGAGAAACAGGCTTGTGTGGACCATGATGTAGTTGAAGGAATAGGGGGCATTTGTTTTTTAAGAGGATAAGTTTTTTTTTTTTTTTTTTCTATTTATTTAATTATTATGTATACAGTGTTCTGCCTGCATGTATGTCTGCAGGCCAGAAGAGGGCACCATATCTCATTATGGATGGTTGTGAGCCACCATATGGGTGCGACACAAAAGCAGATACACTGTAAAGAGGATAAGTTTTAAGGAGAAGAGGTCTTCAAATATTTGTATGACTGCCACTCAAAAGGAATAGAATTGTTATGTAATTGTTGTAAGTTAAGCCTTTTTTTTTCTTTAATCCCAGCATGAGGGGCTAGAGGCAACTGGATCTCTGTAAATTAGAAGCCAGTTTGGTGTGTGTAGCAAGTTCCAAGCTAGCCAGGACAATGTAGTGAAATCCTGTCTCCAAAAAAAGAGGAGTTAAGAAGTGTAAGTTTCTGGTCCACATTAAATGTGGTATGTGAACATGTCTGATGATGAAAATTGGCTCTCTTCTCATCAAATCACTAGAAATATTCAAATAAAAGCTAGATCAGTGATTCTCAAAGTAGCAGTGATACCAACTGAAACTTTTATGAATAATTTGTGTGTGTGTGTGTGTACATTTGGAGGGACAAAAGACAATGGAATTAGTATAATTTAATGGAAGTTTGTATGAAGTGTTATTTTCAAATCAAAATAGATTTTAAACTATATTAACTTCTAACAGATTATGTATTGTTAAAATGATACTTAGAACCTTAGGCTAATTCTTTAATGTAAAGATGTCAATACAAAGCAAGTTCTATCAGTCAGTCCCTAATACAAATTGAAGTTGTTATTTTTATTTTATTTTATTTTTTAATGGCTGCTTTCTCAAACAGGCACTTCTTCAAACTGAAGAACAACTTTTATCAGTGTCGGGATGGTGTACTGAAATGAAGTACTAGAGGAACTAACATTAGAAAGGAAAATAAATTTTCCTGTCATTTTCCTGTTATGGCTAGCATATACCTGCAAATAGGATCACATTGCATGGCATATTATCACCAGAGACCATCCTGTTTTATAAATGGCCCCTCCAGTAATGCTGGTACCTGAGACCTTGGCCTTATTTAAATTGCTGTAGATGAATTCTGTTTGCCTAGCCTTATCTTTGAGTTTTTAGTACTGTGTTAAGAGGTTGAATGTTTCCATTACCATTTATTCTAGAGTTCACTGGTGTTTTCAGACTGGTTTATATCTAGGATCTATTTATTGTGTTTCTATTTTCCTTTCCTTCCTGTGTGTTTGGGGATGGGGGTTGCTGTTTTAAATTTCAATACAAGGTTTTGGCTATTACCCTATAAAATAATGGGAAAAAATTTAAAACCAGTTCTTCTAATTTTGAAAGCCATAATATAATGCATTTAGGTTTTTTGTTAATAAGTTAAGTTCATGTGTACATTTCTTAATGCCAAGTCAAATTTGTGTGATATGATCATGTATATTATTCCTGTTATCCCAAATAATGAAACCAAAGAAAACATACATGCCATTATAAACAGCAGTTGAAGGCCAACTATATTCAACCATATAAGCAGGGCATGAGTTCTGATCTTTGAATCTGCCAATATAAAAATTCTGGAAAATATTCAAAATTTACTGGCTGATATTCGGAATTCCTCACTCAGTATGATATTATATATTTAAGTAAAAAGAACTAAAACACAACTTAAACGAAGTAGAATATATTGACTGAATTTTGTGTTTTAAAATTAAATACTTAAAAACTGTAAAGTCAGTTTTAATAAAGGTATTTTAAACTTTACTTTTATAAATGTAATTCTTTTTGAGAATTTTTTTATTTGGAATTTATTCATTTGAATATAGGACAGAATAGACATTCAACTGGTGGTGTTCAGTTCTGGTGATATGAATTTTGAAAGATGGAGAAGAAAAGAATACAATAAAATGTTTTCTACAATACAAACCTTTTAATTGGAAGCTTTTTCCATTTTTCAGTTTTAACTGTGGAAATCAAGTTTCTAACTAAATCAAAGGAGGGCAGAATTATTTTGTTAACTATATGTCCTGCCAAGTGGACTGAGTGATAATGAAGTGTCTGGTGTGTTCAGAACCGTTGATTCGTGATTTCTGGCTCATTTTACTTTTATGTAGTATCCCATGGTGTATATCCTAGTCTCATAATATTGGAAAGACTTTGAAAGTTAGTTGCAATAGCTGTGGCTTCCTTACCAGGGCCACCAGGTTGTCTGTAGTAGGACACTGGGGTGCTAGAAGCACCCGACTGGTCCATTTCAGCTTTGCAGGTGAATCCCTTTGGGTTCCTGGAACAAATCATCAGGTGACGAGCACCTCTTCCCAGACATGGCTAGGGCAAGAATTGGGTTCTGGTTCTTTAGTTCTGTGTATTTTGAATATTATACCATATTCCAAATTTTGGTTTTAGCACTGGCTATTTGTTGTACTTTGTTGAATTTAGAAAGTAAGGGTTTTTGCAGATTTAGTGAAAACCATTTATGGAAACGCCTCTTAATTTGTAAAAGCAATTTCTTTTGTGGGCTCACATCCCTTAATTGCAGACATTTATATTCTGTTATTGGGGGATTATTTTACAATTTTGGAATTCTGCTCTAGTGCGTATGTGCCACATGCTGCTTTTATGTAATGGGACAATGACAACAGTTGTGTGTGTGAGTCTTAGTGCTGGTGAGATGAAGACAGACGCCCGGCTCTTCGTTCTGGTCCTTTATAAAGTGTTCTCCAAGCACACGCTACTCTTTGGAGTTTCTCGGCTGCCCACACAGCACAGTAGAGCACTGGGGAACAGTGCCTGAGGAGGATAGGAATTAGGGGATGACAATTCCAGTCTTACGTCTTTCTGGATGGTCTGGAGGCTTGTTTCCTAGAGTTCACAACAAGAAACTGTTAAATTCAGATTCTTCCATCTTTTCCTCCTCCGACACTTCCATTCCTGTATGGGCATTTCCTGGGATTATCTCCCAAATAAGCCTCTTAGCTTTGAATCTATTTCTGAGTCTTATTTTCTGGGACTTACTTGAAATGTTCATATTATATATGGAATATGTTAAAAAGAAAATTATTTTGGATAAAAATCTAAAACATCTTAATTTGTCTTATCACATCCATACTCAATTTAATTTCTTTAGTTTCATCTTATTATAAATTTAGAACTCTAAGAGATTTTTCTACTTGTGCTTTTAAAAAGATATGGCGAGGTCATAAAAGTATGGACAAAGTGGATTATTTGGTAGAAATTGAAGCAGAACAAGGAACTTGGTATGGTCATGGTCAGACAGTATGTGCCAGTTGGATTCAGTTTTTTCACACCTTTCACTGCTGTTTATACTTAACCAGGGGTCAGGCATAGCCTTGTGTAGTGTTGACCGTGATGATGAATTTACTCTGTGAGCTTGGTTAGACTGTGGCTTTCTGTAGGCTATTAAAGAAAAGGGATATGCATTTTAGAAGTTGAGTGAGCTCTTTGTTTAATTTAAAGGCCATTTAAGGGGCGGGAAAGATGACTTAGAGGATAAGATCACCGGCTGCTGTTGAAGAGGACCTGGCTCAGTTTCCGGCACCCACGTGGCAGCTCACAGCTGTTTGTAATTCTAGCTCTGGGGGAGCCACTGCCCTCTTCTGGCCTCCATACACACCAGACATACATGTGGTGCTCATGTAGACGTGCCAGGTACACATTTATACACATGAAATACAAATCTTTTTTAAAAATCTTATTTAAGTAACATTTTTCCATTTATTTATATACTGACCACAGTTTCCCCTCCTTCCTTTCCTCCCAGTCCTGTCCCCAACCCCCCTGCTTTCCATCTTCCCCTGTCCTCTTCCACTCCATCTCCATTCAGAAAGGGCCAGGCCTCCCATGGGCTTGAACAAAGCATGGCACATCGAGTTGAGGCAGGACTGAGCTCCTCCCCTTGTGTCAAAGTTGGACAAGGTAATCCTTGGAGAACAGGTTCCCAAAAGCCAGCCAAGTGCCAGGGACAGGTTCTGATCTCACTGCTAGGAGCCTTACAAATAGACCAAGCTACACAACTATCACACGTGCAGAGGGCCTAGGTCAGTCCTCTGGAGGCTCCCTAACTGTTGGTCCAGAGTCCATGTGCTCCCACGAGCTCAGGTCAGCTGCCTCTGTGGGTTCCCCCATCATGAAGCCCATGACATAACACAATTCCTCCTCCTTTTTCTTCAGCAAAACGCTCGGAGCTCAGCTCAGTGCTTGACTGTGGATCTCTGCATCTGCTTCCATCAGTTACTGGATAGAGTATCTCTGATGATAATTAGGGTAGTCACCAATCTGACTACAGTAGAGGCCAGTTCAGGCACTCTCTTCCACTAAGTGTCTTAGCTGAGATTATCCTTGTGGATTCTTGGGGGTTTCCCTGGTGCCAGGTTTTTCCCTAACTCTCAAATGTTCCTCTCTCCCATCAAGACATCTCTTTCCCTACTCTCCCCCTCTATCCTGCCTCCAACCCACCTCCTGTATCCCACCTGCCCAACGTACTCCCTCACATTCCCATCCCTTCCTTCAACTTTCCCCTGCCTTCAAGAGTTTACCCAGGAGATCTGTTTCCCCTTCCCAGGGAAATCCATGCATTCCTCTTTGGGCCCTCTTTGTTAGCTAGCCTCTCTGGGGCTGTAGATTGTAGGTTGGTTGTCCTGTACCTTACTCCTAATGTCCACTTATGAGTGAGTACATATTATTCATCTTTCTGGGACTTGGTTACGTCATTCAGAATGATTTTTTTTTCTAGTTCCATCCGTTTGCCTGCAGATTTCATGATTTCATTGTTTTTTTATAGCTGAGTAATACTCCATTGTGTAAACGTACCCCATTTTCCTTATCTATCCTTTGGTTGAGGGGCATCTAGATTGTTCCAGGATCTGGCTATTACGAGTAATGCTGCTATGAACCTAGTTGAGCAAGAGTCCTTGTGGTATGATTGAGCATCCTTTGGGCATATGCCCAAGATTAGTATAGCTGGGTCTTGAGGATTGATTTCCAGTTTTTTGAAAAACTGCCATATTGATTTCCAAAGTGGCTGTACAAGTTTCCACTCTCACCAGCAGTGGGGGAGTGTTCCCCTTGCTCCACATCCTCTCCAACATAAGCTGTCATATATGTTTTTGATCTTAGCAATTCTGACAGGTGTAAGATGGTATCTCAGAGTTGTTTTGATTTCCATTTCCATGATGGCTAAGGATGAGCAATTCCTTAAATGTCTTTCTTGACCATTTGAGAGTCTTCTGTGAGAATTCTCTGTTTAGATCTGTATCCCATTTTTAAATTGGATTATTTGGTATTTTGATGTCTAGTTTCTTGAGTTCTTTATATATTTTGGAGATGAGCCCTCTGTCAGATGCAAGGTTGGTGAAGATCTTTTCCCATTCTGTGGCTGCCATTTTGTCTTATTGACTGTGTCCTTTGCCTTACAAAAGCTTCTCAGTTTCAGAAGGTCCCATTTATTAATTGTCAACTTCAGTGTCTGTGCTGCTGGTGTTATATTCAGGAAATAGTGTCCTGTGCCAGTGCGTTTAAGGCTACTTCCTACTTTCTCTTCTGTCAGATTCAGTGTAACTGGATCTATGTTGAGGTCTTTGATCCACTTGGACTTGAGTTTTGTGCATGGCGATAGATACGGATCTATTTGCATTCTTCTACATGCTGACATTTAGTTATGCCAGCACCATTTGTTGAAGATGCTTTCTTTTTTCCATTGTATAATTTTGGCTTCTTTGTCAAAAATCAGGTGTGTGGATTTATGTCAGGATCTTCGACTTGATTCCATTGATCCACCTGTCTGTTTTTATGCCAATACCAACCTGTTTTTATTACTATAGCTCTACAGTAGAGCTTGAAGTCAGGGGTGGTGATGCCTCCAGAAGTTCCTTTATTGTACAGGATTGTTTTAGCTATCCTGGGTTTTTTGTTTTTCTATATAATTGAGTATTGTTCTTTCGAGGTCTGTAAAGAATTGTGTTGGAATTTTGATGGGGATTGCAATAAATCTATAGATTGCTTTTGGTAAGATTGCCATTTTTACTATATTAATCCTACCTATCCATGAGCATGGGAGATCCTTCCATTTTCTGATATCTTCTTCAATTTCTTTCTGTAAAGTCTTAAAGTTCTTGTCATACAAATCTTTCACTTATTTGGTTAGAGTTACCCCAAGGTATTTTATATCATTTGTGGCTATTGTAAAGGGTGATGTTTCTCTGATTTCTTTCTCAGCCTGTTTACCATTTGTATATAGGAGGGCTACTGATTTTTTTGAGTTAATCTTGTATCCCACCACATTACTGAAGGTGTTTATCAGCTGTAGGAGTTCCCTGGTAGAATTTTTGGGACTACTTACATATAATATCATGTATCTTTAGGTTCAAAAAAGAAGAGTCGATTCCAAGTTTTTATGTACTCTTCTTTGGATATTCTGCTACTGCCTTTTCTGTTTCCCTGCATCATTTTTAGTTCTTTGATAGCTGCTTTCAAACATGAGAAGCTGATTTTAATAGCGACTGAAGGAGTATGTAGAACGTTTGTATTTATGTTAGATATATAGTTAAGCCTTTTTACTATAAAATTTATGATACGTGTCTTAACAATATATTGATTTTGTTTTATGGTTTGAATATAGATGAAATTTAAGTAAATACTTTGTTCCGTTTATAGACCATCCTAAGATGAGTATGGACACAAATGTAACCATAAGAGCACATTTGAAAAATATATTTCAATTGATTTTTTCTGGTATGTTAGACCTGTTGTTTATCCATCTGTCAGTCTCTCATCAGAAATACCAGAAAATGTTGACTACATGCTGTTAATTTGCCTTTGGACCCTTGAGACTCTGCCCTATACTTCTGAATCTATGACAGAATATGTCTTGACTTTGAGGTTGTATTTGACAGAAATGATCAAAGATGAGCTAGATAATACAATTTGGGAGAAAACAAATGAGTTTTTATTTTGTTTTGTCTTTTCCAGACCTGGTTTCTCTGCGTAGCCCTGGCTGTACTAGAACTCTGTAGAGCAGGCTGGCCTTGAACTCACAAAGATCTGCTTGCTGAGTGCTCTGGGATTAAAGGCATGCGCCACCACCGCCTGGCAACAAATGAGTTTTAAAGGAAAAAAATCTGCTTTTCTCCTGGGACATGTCACACTGCTAAAAAAAACAAAACAAACCAAAACAAAAAAGCTCCCCCCCATTGGAATAAGCTTGTAATTTGGTAAAGGCATTGCTTCTTTGTACATATACTTGTGTTAGTAGAGAAAAATTAAGCTTGTTACTTTTCAGACTTTTTATCCCAACAACTACTTGATTTATTACAACATTCTTAGATAAGGGTTTTCCATTTCAAGTAGCTCATTATGGGAAATCAAAGATCTAATACGAACCACATGCGAATTTTAAAACCTATCTATACTTAGCCCATTTTTTGAACACTAAATTCTTTCTATAAGGAAATATTAAGATACATTCATTAAAAATAGGAAATGGCCTTTAAATAATTTAGCTGGAAGCTAAGTTTTTAAGTGGTATTAGTAATGTTGAGTGTTAAATATGACCATTCTGATGATAACTTCTGAAAAACAGTCCAGAATAATAGTCTTTCAGGAGTGTACCTCCTGTTCCTCAGGCAGTTGAGTCAACTTTTATGATATATATACATCTATTTAAAATCTGTGAATGAAATGAAAGAGAACAGGGTTTTTTATCTTCCTGTGACTGACTTCATTCGCTTAACATGATTATCCCTGGTAACTTCATTCTTTATAGTTGAAAACATTTCATTGTGTTTTACGCCACATTTCTTTTATCTATTCTTCTCGTTTTTGGACATTTAGGCTGATCCCACAATTTAGCATCTGTAGATAGTGCTGCAATACACATTGACGTGAAAATGTCATTGTGATATGTACATTTAGAGTCCTTTGGGGAAGTGCCCGGAAGTGCCATAGCTGGATTGTAGAGGAGATCTGTTCTTATTTTTTAAAAGAACTTACTGCTTTCCATTACCGCAGGCACCATGTGAGGTTCCCTTTTATGCCCATTCTCCTTGCCAACTTTTGTTGTTGATTTGTTTCTCTTCTTTCTGGTGTTCGTTGTTTTGTGCCTTTTTAGACAGCTTCCTGCTATCTAGCCCTAACTGACCTGGAAGTTGCTATGGAGACCAGGCTGACTCTTTAGTGGGTCCTCCAGTCTCTCCATCATTTAATTGTAGGCATGGCTCCCACTTTAGGCTTGTTTATTTTCCTCAAGGCTGCCATTCTGAACGGTGAGGTCGAATCTTATTTCTCTGAGGGCTAGTGAGGATGCAGACCTTTTCGTGTGTTTATTGCCCATTTATGTGAGATTCTTTTGGTTTTTGGGATTCAGTAGCCCATCTCCCCCTCCCTCTCTCCTTCTCTAGGTCTGGCCTCAGACTCAAAGAGTGCTGAGATTAAAGATTTAAAGGCACGTGCCACCACACCGAGATCAGTAACCCATTTCTTATGTGCATATGTTTGTGCATGGGTGTGTGCGTGCTGGTGCATATGTGTGTGGAGGCAGTGACCAACCTTGGTGTCATTGCTCAGGTGGTGGTCACCTTCCTTTGTCTGCTTGTTTAAAACAGAGTCTCTCAGTGGCCTAGGAACTTGCCAGCTAAGCTAGGCTGTCCAGTGAGCCCCCGGGATTTGTGCTTTGCCTCCCTTTGCCCTGGGCTTTTTATTTTAAACTGTGACTTGTAGATCGAGCTCAGGTCCTGTTTGCCAAGCAAGTTCTTTAACCAATTGAGGTATCTCCCTCCCCCTCGTTACCTTTCTTGATTGGGGTGATGTTTCTATTGTTTGGGTTTTTGAGTTCTTTCCTATTCTCTCAGTCCTCAGTCAAATGTGTAGCCGGCCAAGATTTTCTCCTGTTGTGTATGTAAGACTGGCTGTCCCTTCACTCAATTCACTGTTTCCTCTGCCCCATTTGCTGCTTTTCATTATTTCCAGAGCAACTGTAATCCTCGTGTTGAGGACTTGCTTCCTTGTGCTTCCATTTCCCAGGATTTCCCTGTCAGCCTCAGAGTTTCCAGGCTTCTGTGGGGTCCGGAAGAGACAGCAGTCTCATTTCATTCTACATTTAGATACCCATTGTTGGAGATGTCTTTATGGAAGATCAGGTGGCTGTGACTGCTCTTGTACTCCACTGGTCCTATACCCGTCTTTGTGCAGCTACCACGTTGATCTGTTACTGTAGCTTTGCCCTATACTTGAAGTGAGATGTAACACTTTCCGGAAGATTGTTTTGCTCAGAATTGCTCTCTGGGATCTTTTGTATTTCAGGGTGAGTGTGCGTGTGTGTTTCTGTGTCTGTGAATGGCATTGTAGTTTTGATGGAAATTGCACTGAATCTGTGTATTGCTTTTGGTAGTGTAGTTATTTTCACAACATTAATTCTTCCAGCCTGCGATCATAGTTGGCCTTTCCCTTATCTCGTAGTGAGTGCATCCTTCTACTGCTTCCTTCAGTGGGTTAAGGTGTTTATTGTGGACGCTTTTGGTGCCTTAGGCTTATTCCAAAGTAGTTTTTGTTTTGTTTTGAAGCAGTTGTGAGTGGTGTTGCTTTGCAGATTTCTTACCACGTTTATTATTTGTATATAAGACAGCTGCTGACTAGAAAGAGTGAATTTTAACGAAGTGTTCATATTGCTGAAGGTTGAAATTTGAACCGCTCGTTAGTACTAAAATAATTGAGGCTGACATTTAAGTAAGGCATTTTATGTGGAGTTTGTACCAGCATCTAAAGGCCAGCGTTGCTTGACTGTAGTGGATACTTTAAATGTAATGAGGTATTTACCCAATTTACAGGTAGGTTGCTTTCCCTGCTTTTTTTGAGACTATATTTCACTCTGTGAACCCAAGCTGGCCATAAACTTGTGGTCCCCGCCTTAGCTTCCTGTTGCCAGAGTTACGTGTAGTAATGGCCAGCTGTAATTTTTTTTAATTTTCACAATTTATGCTATTTTAAAATGCATGTTTAATATTTTCAGTTATAGAAATACAGATAAATATAGAGTATTTAAGCCATTACTAGTTTCTTACTTGAAAAGCACTTTGCTTGGTTCAGTATATAAAAGTAGCTTTTATACGGCAAAATTAAATTTTTTTAAAAACTTTTTAACTCAAGAGCCAACTGTTTATAACAGAATAAAGTGGTTTAGACAAATACATCTTCACAAATTTTAGAGTATTTTCAATCCTTCATGATAGCAAAAAGCTTTCTTTGTTTGAACTCGGTAGCTCTTTCCCCTCCACCCTGCCCCTCCTTTCTCCTCCCCTGCCCCATTAGTCAATGGCTGTCTTTCCACTGCCGTGTCTCCCAGTTCAGACTGTTGGGCTTTGGGAATGAAGGGGTTTGTTTCTTTTTAACAGTGAGTTTTAGTCTTTCTGCCCAAGATGAACACTATTATGAGGAGATCCTTTTTACTCCCCGCATGACATTGACTATTCCCAAAGGAAAAAGATGAACCTCTCTTAGTTGTACGGAACACTCTCGTAGTAATAGAATAGAAACAGCCAAAGGAAAAAGATGAACCTCTCTTAGTTGTACGGAACACTCTCGTAGTAATAGAATAGAAACAGTGGAGGGTTTTAGCAGGATCAATTAAATTACATATCCCTTGGAAAATACAGTTTAGTGATTTTATATTCAGTACAGTAAATATCAAAATAGGTATCTTAGCACCCCTCTTTTAAGTTAATTGATGCAGATATTCGACAGTCGTAGTATTGCTGGTTAAGTGCTTTGAAGAATGTTATATTACCTGCTTACATTAAAAAAAGATTTCCTTTAGCATTCAGAACGCTATGAAGATGAAAACAGTGAGCTCGTGCTGGTCCCCTTCCTTTCTGTTGTGTTGTCCCTGGATATAAAGACAATGGAAACAACAGCACGAGTCTGCTTCTGAGAGGAGGGAACGCACTCACTGTTTGGTGTCCTTAGTGACGTACTAAAGTGGGCACAGAGCTAAGGAGATCAGATGCCCGACGCATGGCTTTCCTGTGTGTGTGAGAGAGAGTTTTCGGCACATTCTCTCTTTGTAATAGAGATCTGGGATGCTTTGTGCTTCCTGTTCAGCCCAGATAACAACTTCCTCCTCCCCACTTTTCCTTCTCACTCCTGTTTCTGTTTCTGCCTTTTCTTTCTTTGAGATACAGCAGAGAGAAAAACTCAGGTATGCAATTGAATTTCATACTCTTTTTTTTTTTTCGAGACAGGGTTTCTCTGTGTAGCTTTGCGCCTTTCCTGGAACTCGCTTTGGAGACCAGGCTGGCCTCGAACTCACAGAGATCCACCTGGCTCTGCCTCCCAAGTGCTGGGATTAAAGGCGTGCGCCACCACCGCCCAGCGAATTTCATACTCTTAATTAGCACTCATGACTTCAGCTCTCTCTCCTGCCAGCACTGCCATCATCCACCATTCCAGCGTAAATTCATCCACGTATCACTGATATTTAAAGGGATCTAGCTGGCAGTGTGTTGGATTTAACAAATAAGGTAGAAGAAATAACGTGTTGTTTGTTTTTGTTTGGTTTGGTTTCTCTGTATAACCCTGGCTCTCATTCTATAGTTCAGGCTGGCCTTGAACTCAGAGATCCACCTGTCTCTGCCTCCCAAGGAAATATCATTTTTTAACGTACTGCGTTTCATTCCTTACAGCAAATCATGTTCTAATGTTTTGTCAAAAATTTTTAAATAATATCTTTTGTAGAAATGTTTATAAACATGTAACTATGTTGTATGGTTCTATAATTACTAATAAAATAATTTTCAAGTTATTTTTGAATGAGATTGCTTTGTGTGTGCTACAACAAATTTTGCGAACCTAAAACAGTATTTCTCTGTGGATTTCTTTTATTCTGTATCAGAAGAGATACAACTGTGGTTGTCCTTTGTAAATGTTACTTTTGGATAGGTCGTGTCCCTTGGCCAACACCTAGGTTATTTGTAAAAACTCTGAACTGATGACTGGTCCCTTGTCTCTGCCGGTGATGTACTGCTACTTGTGTAGTTTTAAAGCAGTTCCCCAAAAGAGAAGCGAAAGAGAAGCAACTCCTTTGCTGATTCCATCCACTCCATGAGCTAATCATATAGCACTCTGTGTGTATTGGGATAATGGCCATGCTGTCAGTGTTTTGCAAGGTGCTCATTCATCATGGTTAAGTTTTGTGCTTGGTTGAGGATCCTACACATAGAAAGGCAATAAAAGTTTAGAAGTAAATGGCAGGAATGATGATTTGAGGTAATGAGACTGCCCTGGGCCAACCAAAGTTGTAGTACAGTATGCAGCCTTTTCAGACTGCCTACTTCCCCATGTTAATGTGTAGTTATGATTGGTACTTAATTTCTTTTTTGCGCTGAATAATCCATTCTGTATTTTATTACAATTATCAAATTATCTACTCACCTATTGAGATGTACTTTAGTTGCTTTCAAATTTCAAATCTGTGAGTAAAGCTACTATATAAATCCATATTTAGGACTTTTGTGTGTTTTAATTGTTTGGTAAAATGCTACAAAAGAACATTATTGTTTTGTATGTGTGTCTTGTGTTTGTGTGCATCTGTGCAGGGTGTGTGTACCTGGGTGTGGGCTGCTGCTTGTGGATGCCAGAGATCAACCTTGGGAGACATTCATTGGGAGCCGCCCACTTCATGTTTTGAAATAGGGTCTCTGGGATCTGGAGCTTGCCATTGAAGCCGGTCAGGCTGGCCAATGACTTCCAGGGACCTGCTTGTCTTCATCCCCCAGCTCTGATTACAAACAAGTGCAACCATGCATGGCTTTTCCCATGAGTATTAGGGTTAAACTCAGGCCCCCGTGCTTACACGACAAGTGCTTTACCAGCTGATTGATCTCCCCAGCTCTTTTGTATTATAAGCGTATCTTTAGTTTTGTGAGAAATGCTAAACTGCCCTTCAGAATACTACAAGGAGCCGGGCGGTGGTGGCGCACGCCTTTAATCCCAGCACTCGGGAGGCAGAGCCAGGCGGATCTCTGTGAGTTCGAGGCCAGCCTGGGCTACCAAGTGAGTCCCAGGAAAGGCGCAAAGCTACACAGAGAAACCCTGTCTCGAAAAACCAAAAAAAAAAAAAAAAAAAAAAAAAAAAAAAGAATACTACAAGGAGTGGGCCAAAGTTCTGGTTGCTCTTAGTGTAAGTGTTTTGTATTTTCTCCATTCTAATCATTTAGTTTTTAGTCTTTTGTTTGTTTTCAGGTAGAGTGTTGTTCTATTGCCCAGGCTGGTTTTGAATTAGCTTATCAAATCACTAGGGTCTCTAGGTGCTCACCACTGTACCTAGATAAATCTTTGTAATGGTTTTACCTTGCAGTTACCCAATGAGATACATACAGTAATAAATACAATCATTTATGTATTTACTATTTTGGGGAATATCTTTTACACTTTTAAAAAGTAGTCCTAACAACTTTACACACATTCAGAATACTTAAAATACACTCCAGAGTTGGTTATCATGAGAGAATGTCATAATACCATACAGCACTAGCCTGGGGAAGGGGAGAAATTTGAAGTACAATTTCTGCTGAGTGCATATTGTTTCCCATCACTATACAATTAAAAAAAGGGGTGGTGGTGGAGAAATGGCTTAGCAGTTAAGAATATTTATTGGTCTTCCAGAGGACTTGCATTTGATTCCCAGCACCCACATGGCAGTTCACAACTGTTTGTAACTCTAGTTACAGGGGATCAAATGCCCTCTTCTGGCCTTCATGGGAACCAGACATGCAGGTAGTAAACAGATGTACATTCAGGGTCAACACCCATACACATAAATGTAAAAAAATGTAAAACTACCTTAAATCTGCATTTATCTGTATTGAAAAATAAAGGAGGAGAAAGAAATTTATACACCTTTTTTTGGCCAAAGGAAACACTTGACGTTGGAAGACTTTTCTAGATAAATAGAAGCTGTGACAATCCATAGATGAATAAAAAGGGAAGAAGGGGGTTGCTAAGATGCCTCCCCCAAACTACTAATTTTTTTCTTGGAAAGGAAGGTTTTCCAACAGTTAGTAATGCCAGAAGAAAGTTTAAACCCATATAAAGAATAATGGTGGAATCATTAAAAGGGATTTAGTCATTAATAAAACACCTGAAAGTATCACAAAGTGGGACTGAGACATTTGTAATGCCTTTATGTCACGTGTAGGTATGTTTGAAGATCAGCTGTGTACTAGAAGTCCTAGTGATTTCTAGGGCTAAATAAAATTAATTAGGAAATACAGGAGATAAATTGGACTCATGAAAAAGAAAAGTAGATTAGTGACCCAAAAGAAATGAGGTGAAGAAAGAAAGAGGTCATAGGACAAGCAGCTCTGAAGCTACGAAGTTCAACTCTGTCCATACCTCCATTATGAAAAGTGACCTGGATATAAAACGAGTGATTTCCCAACTGTTGAATGGAGCAGTATCCAGTTACTTGCGTAGTTGAAATGTCTAGACAGATTTATGATCCTAGACATTTTAGAGCTCTTTACAGAGTGGATTGAGACAAATACAGAAGAGTTGAACAGCAGTTTAACCTAATGTGTTTTTATGGACCTCCTCACCAAATAGAATACACAGTTTCAAGTTCACATGGAACATTGATCAAGCCAGACCATATGATGGGCCATTAAAACAAGTCTCAGTGAACCTTAGAAGGTTGAAATCTTACCCCCCCCCCAAAAAAAAAAATGTTTTCTCTGGGCATAGCCTAATTAAAGTTGACAACTATCTAGATAAATTTCAACTGTTTGGAAATTAGTTGATGCACTGTCAAATTCCAACCAGCCCAAGAAAAAAAAATAGAAGCAGTGTGAAAACTGAACAAAATGGGGTTAGGCTGAAGTATTCTAGAGACAGAATATATTTTAGAAAATAAACCTTTCAAATTAGCCTTAGTTTCCACTTCTGAAATAGAAAAGAGAGATGGTCTGAGGTGAAAAGCAAATATAAATCCTATGAGTGGATTCAGTACTGATTTGAAAAAGATGTTAGTGGTCAGTTCAACCTATTAATACCTAGTCAGTAGACCAGATAACAGTGACAAGCTCTCTGGAATGAAGGGATGTTACTACAGATACTGCATGCAGTTGACAGGAAAGCTAACAACTAGGGAAATAGTGCAGCTAGTTCATCCTGTGAGTTGGTTGAGGTAGATAAAAAGGGCAAGTCTAAAAGACAACTGCTGAAATCACTCAGAGTCAGGTAACAGCTGGGGGACCTGCTTACCTGCAATTCCAGCAGTCCTGAGGCTGGTGGAGGAAAATTGAGGTCAAGGCCAGCTTGGCCTGCATAGGAAGACTCTATATGGTACATAGGAAGTTCCTATATGGTACATTGTATTTAGTGTTTTTGATGATGCTGTAAGCACAGAGTTAGGGCATACAGGTTAGGAAGGAAGAGGGAGAGATTATCTCTCTCTGTAAATGGCATCATCTGGAAAATCCAGAGAGATCTTGGGAAAAGCACAACCAAAACAGTTTAGCAAATGTTTAGGGCACAAAGTCAATACGTAGTGTTTATTTTATGTGGGTAAAGTTAATGCTGCAAAACTTCTGCACTGAAAACAGGGTTTTTAATTTGCAGAAATTCAGAGATGGGTATATACATGAAAATACTGGATTAGATGACAGTATTACTAAGATGTTACTCCACCCAAATTTATGTACAGATCAATGCATTCTCGGTGACCTCGAAGAGTGGATTAATTGGTTGACTGCTTTTATAGTCATAGACCTCAAGCCCAGGGCCCTGTGATTGCTAGACAAGAGCTGTACACCCACAACCCTTCTATTAAAAGTAGAAATTGATGAAGTGATTTCACAGCATTGAAAGCAAAGGATAGGATAGTCAAAGCAATGTTTATTAAAATAAGATTGCGTTCTACCTGATTCCAGACCAGTCAATGTATTGTAAAATTATAATGCAACAGAGTAGTGAGTCCAGAAGTAGACTTACACTTTAGATTTTCAGCAAATGTGCCAAAAGTTCACCGGAGGCAGTGACTTAACAGTCTCTGCATCAGTTGAACTTAAATGTGAAGGGGGGGAAAAAACCTATCTCAGGTGCAACCTCCTATCATACGTACTAAAATTAAGTGTAGACCTAAACCTTAGACATCTAAAAATTTGAGAGAAAACTTAGTTTCCTTATTGTTAGGTAAAGACTTCCACCAACTGAGGCCCCACCTCGTCGTTGACATCTGTGCCCTATGTGGTGAGTTGAAGGAAGGTGATCAGATCTCTCAGGTCAGGGGTTTTTAAAGATAATGTTTTCTTGCAGAAAGGTGAATAGGTGTGAAGGAGGTAGATAAAAGCATGACTAAATTTGTCATGTTTTAGAAGAATTTGTACAAAAGGCCTTTAGGTAAAAAACGCCAAAGCATATAATTAAGCCATCTTTGTGGAACATCTGAAAAGATGGATTTATTTACTTTTTTTATCAGATGCTTAGGTAGCATGATGAGGCATTTGAAAATCCGTGCAGATGGGCCTGACGTGTAGACATGTAGTTTTGACCCGCGGGCTCTTTATTTCTGAATACAATATTTGAAGAGATAAAAATAGTGGGCTTTCTGAATAGGAGAATCATATTATTTGAAGATAGCAAGATGGAAGTGAAAAATTTCAATTTGAGAAGATTTTATTTTTATGATGTATTTATTGTATACAGTGTTTGGTTGATATGACCAAGAAAGTGTAAAACCTGTTCTGTAAGGTTGTTACTGAAGATCTGTCATAGGAAAGGCAACAGAGTAGTGGACAGATCATG